GAACGGAATCAAAAGCGGAAGAATAGTCAGGGAAAACACAACAGACTTTTGAGAATCATTTAAAGATTTGCAGATAAAGTGAGTCACTAAAGAGACGGCATCCAAGGTGCATATATTTGGCTTGTACGCAAACTGGAGGGGGTCATTGGGAACAATAATACCAGACTGCAAGCGGGTGAGAATAGCGAGATTTGTAAGCTTAAATCCAGAGGAGGTGATGGCGATAGGACGAAAGCGTTTAGATGAAATGCTTGGGGAAGAGGGTTTAGAAATAGAAACAATGGCGAACGGTCTCCAAGACCTCGGAATCGAACATGTGTAAATGAATTGATTAACAAAGGACAAAAACATCTCTGTGGCGTAGCTGGCGCCATATCTGAGCAATGACGAAGATAGACAATCGGGGCCAAATGCGTTCGTGATTTTTGCAGTTTTGAGAAGATGATAGACCTCCTCATGGGTGACTGGGTTTATGGTAGATAGGTGATCTGTAGCGTACGGAGACAGGAGATCATTCGAAGGATAAATGAATGCAGTATTGAGACTGTCCACGTCAAAAGTTTTGTTTGTTGTCCGTTTCACTTGTCCAAAAAGCAATCCCATTCCCTGCCATAACCGGCTTCCATTTTCAGCTCCCAGAACCTGCTTTGCGAATGAATCATTCAATCTCATGATCACTGCCCTGATTTCCGGTGTAAGCTGTTTGATAGTGGCTGTTTGAAGCTTCTTGATCGCTAGTTCTTCTTGTCTTCTACGAGTTTTTAATCCCGGAGAGCATACTTTGCCAGTGTTAACAAAAACGGTTTCCATAGGACAGCTTGAAAATTGCACTAACTTTTTATGTAAAGTGTTTAACAGAACAGAGAGACTGTTGAACGGAAAACCATGAAGAGATAATAGCAAGGGAGTTCCTCAGGAGATGAAGTCTGTCTGCTGCAAGATTCCGAATTTTCACGTGCATTTGTTTTATGTCAATAAAAGCGGTGTAAGCTAACCGAGAGTAAAACTTTGGTCTAAGATGTAGGAGACAGTGTTCACCAGACGTGATTGGCGCCTTGAGTTTGAGAAAGGAAATATTAGGATGTTTACTAATAACCTTGTCCCAAACAGCATTTCCTCTGGTGAGTGTTAGAGAGATCTGATAGACCGAAAGAAAGTAAAAGGTTGGGTTGATCCGTGATTAAAATCACCAGCAACTAAAATTAAATTATCGTCAACTAAGGGAGTAATGAAAAAAACAAATGCATCGTAGAAAGAGCTAATTACAACCTGGTAGCAAGAAGGGTTGATGTACAGATCGGCACTAATTGTGCCCCGATAAGGTAAACCTAGGTCGACAGTAAACATTTAGACTGTCAGTACCATAAGAGGAAAAAGCGAACAACGTATTGGACTTGCCGTACCAACTGGAGTTAGTGTAGGTTATTACCCCGCCTCCGGACTTATTTTTGCTTTCCTCTCTGTCTTGTCGAAACCTTGCAAAACCAGATATGTTGACCAGCGAATCGTCTATATTCTGGTTGAGCCACAATTTCTGTATGCATATCATACGTGTTTGTTTGCACGCGATAAGTTATTAGATCCGTGAGGTCAGGGAGTTTGCTAACCAGCGAACTAATGTTCGAACTGAATAATGAGGGAACCGTCATCTTCGCAAGAGGGATGTGTGCAAGCGCAGTCTGCCGCCCGGCACGCTTTCGTTTTTTACTCGGAGCAGAAAATCCAGATTGGGCAGAACCATGTGAGTTGGATGACACAAAAGAATAATAAATATTCTTTAGGCGTATTAATAATTCCGTGGGATACGAACGTCGAGAGAACATGGCAGAAACCAAGCAATAAATTTCAATGCGACAGGGAACACAAAAGTAGCGTAGCCAATCGAAGGGCGCGTGTGAGATCCTAACGGTGTGCCCAAACTTCTCCAGCAACGGGGTAGTCAACTCATGGAATAAGTTACCTCAGAAGCTGGTGGAGCTATGGAGCGTAAATGATTTCAAGAAGGAGCTCGATAAGCGCTAGTTGACTTTATTTCCTGAACTGGGTGCGTAAAATTAGGCCTAAAATCGATTTTTGGTTTTTTGTTCACTAAACCCCAACAGGGGAACGCTTCAAAATATGAGGTCTCTCGCCTGAACAATGAGAGAAGATATTTTTCTTTTCTTCCTCTTCCCTTGTAGAGGCGGAGACGAGTGGAACGAGCAGAACACGTGAACAACCACAATATAGAATACGCGCAATTGTAGGGGTCAACACGTGCCTTATTACCGAAGGAACTCTGGACGCCCAATTAGCCGTGGCCATCTCCTGTCCTGTGCAAACTGACCTAACCTGAAATTTCAGCATACCCCCAAGGAGACCATTTTCTGGTAACGGCGCTATTAAGAGAATCACAAATTCCAAATCAACTGTACGCATTGTTGGAAGCTACTCCCATCCGCCGGCAACACAACGAAACGGGACGCTCGATTGGCAAGAGCCATATTCGTCCCGGGGGAGTGTTTAACTTCACCAACAAGCACAACTTCAAGGAGGCACTGGATGCGTGCTGGCCGGAGATGTTCCCTGAGGACCGTGAGCTGGCGAGTGGTTTGAAATTTTGAAACTCTCCTCGTTTGGTAACTTCCGACCTGGTTCTTGCGAAATATCATTCGATATATCACATTATCGAGGGCTTAATTTCATTCTATCGTTTTGCTATATTTTACTCGTAGTAGGTTAAACATTTTTGTTCGTTATGAGCGTCGTGTTTAGTACACCTTATCCATTGCGTAACCCCTTTTTTAGAACTCGTGGTAACATTTTTATTTGTTCTCCAATTATCGTAGCCATTACTAGCATGCCACGTGCCTCTTATCTATGCCTTAATGTATCGTGTGGTAGACTAGTGGTTACAGGTATAGAATGCATCATATAAGAGCATTGAGCAAATAAAACTTGCTCAAGGCTCTCTAGCGAGCTATACAAACTATACAGCACTTACGGGGATCTTCTGTAGACTTGCCAAGGATGCCGAGAGATTGCAAAATTTGCATTAAAAGGCAGCCAGATTTCCTCGGATAATGGTGGTTACATGCAGGGGCAAACGCTATGCGTAAGCGAGACTTCACCCAAATCGCCAACGTGTCAATCAACCAACGCTTTAAGGAAACCACCACCTAGCCATAAAGGTAAAACTTCCCTTCCGAGGGGCTCTTTGGATTACTCGATACCTAAGACCCACACCGTGAGTCCGCGAAAGACTCGCACCGGCATTCAACCTGAACCAACCATACCTCAAACCGAGCAGAGAATACAGGCAACTACACAGGGTTAATCACCAGTTGTTCCTCAGAATCAAACTGTTGTGAAAAAACAAAGCAACACTTCAACAAAAACAACCGCGCATGGTTCAGTTCGCCAGCCGCTTCAACGTGCTGGACAATTCACTAGAAACAAGACAAATCCTAAAGGGATGCGGAAAAACAGAGGAAACCCCAAACCCAAAAAGGACAGCAGCAAAGTAAATCGCGAACCTACAGAATTTCAGTCGGGTGCCCCACCCGATGGTTTCAAGGCAACTATCTCTCGACTCGAGAAACAAGAAATCAGAATTGAGAACTTGGCTCGCCACGTGCAAAAGCAGTTCATCGAGGTCCAGAGGCTCCACGCGTCCTACGAGTCTACCCTAGGCAGGACGAGTAACGTGATAAACCACGTTCCAGAGCCAGTCAATTCCAACACCGCTCAACTTATCGCCGCAGAGAAAACACTCATTCTGAGTAGGCTGCTCAACGCCGAATGTCACCATAAAATGACCTGGAAACAAGCACACAGGCTGGGAAAATGGGTCCCACCAAAACAAGATGGCCCCTCTATCAGTCGACTGCTCTCGTGGAACTCCACAATGCAAAAGAGCGAGACTTTCTCCTATACAAGGCGTCAGTCATCGCAAATACAATGACCAACATCAAAATTGGAGCAGACATCCGCACCCGCAAAGCGGTCATCTCGGGTCCTCACTAACCCCTGGACACCCCGGTGGTAATCTCCGAGAAATCCCGCAACGATTGCAAAGAACCCTGTCCCTGTAAAACATTTCAAAAAACGGAGAAACACTTATGAGGAGTACTCCACCGAAATAACGAGCAACAAACACCGCAACCATCCGCAGATCCTCTCCTGTGTGCTGATAAACGTTTTGCAGTATCCTTAACAAGCGAGACAAGGTGACTGATACTCTTGGTCCCGTTGATCTGTACGTCCTGACGGAAACTTGGTTGTGCGAGGAAGTCGAAGTCGGTGACTGGAGCCAAAACTTTCAGCATTTCCGCTCCGACCGTATTAACTCACTTGGTGGAGGTTAATTGCTACTGGTGCGGCAAGTGATCCGTCAGTCAGCGATGCACTTCACGGCTAGCTCAACAAACATCCAATCATCAGCCTGCATACTGCACGTGAATCTTCCCGTCATGGCTGTCGCGATCTATCGTGGCCCAAGCTCGTCACACCAAGAAAATGAGGAACCTCTTCAGGCCTTGCAAGGAGCTGCCAGATCAGGATATCGTCTCTTAATTCTAGGTGATTTCAACGCGCCCACTGTCAACTGAGCACAACAATCATGTCGCGGAACTGGCTCTGCTCAACATCATATCCGATCTAATCCTCACACAGCATGTGAATGAACCTACCAGGCATGGATGACGTTCAACAGGCAGCGAAGCCCTATGCTCTGTGCTCGCTTTAAACGGCTCCGCAATAAAGCTCTCAAAGTAGCACGAGCGGCTAGACTCAAGTATGAACTACCCATAGCCAACGAGACCTCAAAACAACCTAAAAGATAGTTCAGCTATGCTCAAGCCCCGTTCTCATCAGAAATAGTGATAGGCAATGCTCTTCACATTAATGGACAAATCTTGGCCACCGATAAGAAAATTGCCTACTCATTCCACGCTTCATTCCAAGAGGTCTTTCACCTGGATAGCTTGAGCAACTATCCTACCCTCGACCGTGTGAGTGACATGCCAGATCTGGTGCTCTCTACACCGGACGTGGAAAGAGTCCTTAAAATTTTTAAAACCTCCAAATCGACTGGGCCAGCTGATATTCATCCAGCCGTCTTCAAACCGATAGAATCCTCAGTGATCCCCCAACTAGTCACAATATTCAACGTTTCTCTGAACACGGGACGGATTCCGGAAGATCTGAAACACGTTGCAATTGTCCCAATCTTTAAAGGGGGTAACCAGTCGGATCCGTCCAACTATCGTCTGATTAGTCTCACCAGTATCGTTGCTAAGCTACCGGAGCGCATTCTACGGGAATACATATGTGCGCATCTTGAAGTCTTGAAGTGACTCTCAAGACTTCAAATCGGTTTCTTTTGTAACTCCGAGCACGGGTTTGTCAAAGGCGGATCTTATCTAACAAATTTGTTATGTTTCCTGGATGTAGTAACACAGAAATTTGATGAGGAAACGGAAGTCGAAGTGTGCCACCTGGACTTCCAGAAAGAATTCAACTCAGTTAACCACAGTTTGTTAGATTTTAAACTCAGGGAAACTGAGCTTGGTCCGTAAGTCTGTAACTGAGTTGGAGCGTTCTTGTTTGGGCCGGCCTACAGGGTGCAGGTGCGAGGATGTCTGTCGGAAGTGGGTTCCACCAGGAGGGGGCCCCACAAGGATGTATCCTAGCTCGTCTTCATTTTCTTGTGTATGTCAACGACATAACTTCGGAGCTGAAGAACCCCTACTTTCTGTACGCAAACGACATTAAGTTAGTTGGTAACCCGGAAGACAAGTACTCCCTGAAAGTGACATCTTGAAGGTATGCGAGTGGTCTCAAAAATGGGGCCTCCTACTCAACTCACTAAAGAGCCACCTGCCAGCCAAAACAACACATCCCGTCCCCCGACAGATCCGCACTACGGACGGAGCATACGCAACCCTAGCTTACCAATCAGAGGCAATGGACCTCGGGATAACAGTCTCTAACACCTTTTCCCCGNCCTTTTTCCCGTCTTCTACCTCTGAAGCAGCAACCTTGAAAGCCAACCGAGCTCTGTTTAGACTCCGAACGGTAATTGCAAACCGTTTCTTTAGTGTATTCATGCCCCTGTACACAGCCATCGTAAGGCCTATCCTCGAGTACTTTGTTCAGGCCTGGGCACCGTATCTTCGGAAGGACATCAGAGTCCTTGAAGACGTTCACCGACTAGCAGCCCGGATGGTCTGGGGTCAAAAAGAACTCAACTACTCGGAAAGACTAAACTCCCTGAACCTGTTCTCTCTAGAACACCAACGGATGAGGGGCACCTCATTGAAGTGTACAAAGCCACCAGGAACATGGAGCAGTCACCCATTTGGCACTTGTTCACTTTGCAGGCCAACAAAATTATCCGAGGTCACTGTTACACACTTGAGAGAACCAATAGCAGGTTAGCCATTAGATACCACCTCTTTGTAAATACAGTATCCCTGCATGAAATAAATTACCACCTCAAATATTTGAATGTCCCACAATAAAGGACTTCAAACTAGAGCTGAACAAGGAATGGTATCTCTTATTTCCAGATCTACCCTAGGAATCAGGGTTCATTTAGTTGACTGATGAATTGCACCCTCTACTTCCTGTATTTGAATTTGAATTTAAGGTTCGGTGGTAACGTATCGTCACTGAGAGCCAGGTAAATTGCAGCCCCGCACTATGGAATCGGGTCTTCTAATTGCACTTGAAACTGGTATGTTTCAGTAAACTAAGATCTCTTACCCATGAGGCGATATAACATCTCTTCTGTTTTCTCTTTTCTAACCCAAATGAGAAAATTTGGTTGAAAGAAACTCAGACAACGCAGTGTTGGGAGCCAAAAAACCCGCCGACAACACAATAATCTGGACGCTCTATTGGCAAGAACCATTATTCGTCCCGTGAAGACTGGACTGGACTAGACTGGACTGAATAACCTACTGTGCTTCTTGGACGAAGTTACCAGAAGATTAGACGAGGGGCACACAGTAGCTGTGTGTCATCTTGACTTTAGCAGGGCGTTTGACTCGGTTAATTAAAGCCTGCTATTGGTCAAAAGAGAGGTGTTCGGTATAAGGGGACGAATACGCACATGGCTGAGAGACACAAACATGTCCTTCTACGTCAAAGTAGGTGACAAGTGCTCCCGTACAGCATTCGTCACAATTGGTGGACCCCAGGGCTCCGTGCTAGGTCCGTTGTTGTTCCTACGTTTCGTAAACGATTTTGCTGCCCTGCTGAGATCGCCCACCATTTTTCTTCGCCGACGATGTCAAGGTGGTGGGATCGAAAGGAAGAGTGAAACTTAAGTGACATAACTGCTGTCCTCAGCGGGGCGCTTAAGTGGGATTTGCCGCTAAATGCTGGTAAAAGTCAGTTGCTATCGAGGACCGACGAAAGCTTAACAGTAGTGCAAGACCAGGGTTCGTTCACGATAGAATCGGTTAGTAAGGTTAAGGATCTGGGTATCGTCGTAACCTCCGATTTCCGCTGGGCCCAGC